AAGGATTGAGTTTGTCTAAAAGATGTTGATGAAGGAATGACACGTGAAAAAACTTGTTTAATGAGTAATAGTGGAATCAGAAATAATGAATTTAAAAAGTAGGGAATACACAGCAGTGAGATGCAAATTGGAAATACAAATGATAGGAAAATTGTGGATTATAAAATAGAGAAAAGCCATGAGAACCATCCTGATAATGACTTTTTATTAGATTTACAAAAGAAGCTAGTTAAGGTTTTGAAAAATCAAAAGGGAAATACAAAAGACAAGACAAGACAATGACCATGGATAATGACTTTCCACTGGATTTACAAAACAGATCTGTAAAAGCCTCAAAGAAGTCTTTGTGATAGGAAAAAGACATAGAACATCTGAATGAATCAAAGATCAAGATTGTTAGAAGTAAAAGAGAGGAATATAAAGCTGGTTTGTTTGATCTAGGTTAAAATAAAGCTCTAGTTTATAAAGTTCTGGTAAACTGTAATGGACTTTTTGCTGACACCAGAACTAAAAAGTGATGATTTATGGTTTTGCATATAGAAGGGATGGATTATAGGAAGAAGAAATACATATTTGTAATTTTATAAGTGGTGATGAGTTATTAAAATTGTTTTTCCTTCTAATGAAGATTGGAAGTCACTTCTCTTTACATATTTCTTTTTTTAATTTTACTTCTTTCTTTTATTCACACTTTATTCTATTTCTTTTTGTGAGTTTAATTTGTAATTCCTTTTCTATTGCATTTAAAATCATTAATAGAAATTAAAAATGTATTTTCAAGTAAGCTTCACTACAATATATGCATTTAGGGAAAACATTAGCATAAATATGAAAATATTTGTCTCATTCATATTGACAGATATGAAATGATTTGGTTAATTCATGAAGGTATATGCAGAATAAATACAAATTAGTATATGCATTTGTAAAAATATACATTGTTCTGATAATCTCTCTCCAGATTTCAGTTTGTTTACAGTAGAGATAGTTCAGAATAATGAGCAGTGCACTTGTATCAATGGTACCCTCTGACAAATACTGTATTATTCCACTTATAAGATGCTCCCCCCACCCCCCAAAAAAGTGGATGGAAGTGTCTGTGCATCTTATAAAGCGACGAAGCCCCACCCAGTCCCCACCCTTCAGCCTCTGCCTTCCAGCAATTTGCTTCCTTGCAGCAAATAGCCTGCTTCAGCACAGCCTGATTTAGCACAAGCAGTTGATTGGTGGTTGGATCGGCCTCCCAGAATACTTCTGATCAGCTGCTTCTGGCTGCAGGGATCGCCGCTGCCGGTCACTTCCACCACCTCAGCACACCCAATTTTCTGACTCCACGTGTCTTGTTTTGGGCCTCCGTGTGCCCATTTTCAGCCTCCCTTGTCCCATTTTCAGCCCGTTCCAGGTGGTGGGATCACTGCTGTCATTCGGCAGTGATAGGCAGTGGTGGCAATCCCCGCTGCCTAGAACGGGCTAAAAACAGGACACACAGAGGCCAAAAATGGGGCGTGCAGAGGCCAAAACTGGGGTGCACAGTGGCAATGGGTGGCAGCAATCCCTGAAACATGGAACAACTGATCTGCGGTATTCCGGGAGGCTGATCCAACCACCAATCAACTTGTGCTAAATAAGGTGATGCTGTAGCTGACCAGAGTGTTTGCTGTTTTCGGCTAGGAGATAAATTGCTGGGAGGCAGAGGTAGATTTTTTTTTTTCCTCCCCAAAGGTTAGGTGCGTCTTATGATCCGGAGTGTTTTATAGTGTGAAAAATACGTAACTTCTGAGAAATTTCAATGTAAGACTACAACTGTCCTTTGGGATTGGGCGGCATAGAAATTCTATTAATTAATAAATAAATAAATAAACTCTGTATACTCTTTTACTTACATTCTTCTAAATAAACATGCATTGGACTATTGTGTAAAATGATGTTTTTAGTAGAATAGCTGGGGGATACATTCTGAAAAATGAGGTAAGACAGGAAAAAAACTATTCTGTGATAGTTGAAATGAATGTGGTTATTCTCCATGAATTTAATAATTTCCCTTTCTGTCACATTCAACATTACAACTTGGGAGCTATCCTTTGGCTATAGTAAAAGGGTTCATAATTTGCATGGATAAAGTGAAATGTTGTTTAAGCTACAATGTCATACCGGTAGCATAATAACAAGGAAGAGTGGCATTTTGTATATCACATGTCTAAAATACAGTATGGTTGGACAAGCGAGGCCTTAGACCTCATTAGACCCATTCCATATTTACAGATCTTATTCGTAAGTATTTAGTTTTAAACTTTAAAATGACTTAGAACTTTTACAGGCACAAACTGTGTTTTTAAAAAATGTAACTTAAAATCTATAGAATTGCAGTCAAACCTTGACTTACAACTATTCGCTTGGTGACCAGTAAAGTTATATAGCACTAAAAATGTGACTTATGACAAGTTTTCACACTTACTATAGTTGCAGCATCTCCATGGTCATGAGATCAAAATTTGGGTGGCAACTTGTTTGTATTTATGACAATTGCAGTATCCTGGGGTCATGTGATCACGTTTTGTGACCTTCTGACAAGCAAAATCAATAGGGAAGCCAGATTCAGTGTATGTGTTACGAACATAACAGCTCCAGTGATTCACTTAACAACTGTCTCGTTTATCATCATAAATTTTGGGCTCAATGGTGATCATAAGTCACAAACTACCTGTACTGAATTTTCTTGCCATAATATAACATAAAACCAGATATTTTCTTTCAAACATATTGTCGTGCATAGTGGGGATGTGGAAAACTGTAACAACAACTAATGTTATAAATTACATTTATGTCTTTCAGATCTAGAAATGGCAATTGCATATTGGAATTTAGTGTTATCAGGAAGATTTAAATTTTTAGATCTTTGGAATAAATTTTTATTGGTAAGTATCCTACAGGATTATTCCAAGTGTGTTTGTGCAAGTTCCGAATAGGAGTATAATAAATTCAGTTTAACAGACCATATAGGAAGAAGGTTTGTGTATTGGAGCTTATTGACAGCAAATTGGGGCAGCTCACCAGTGTGTTATTTATCTTAATACATAATTAAGATTATTTACATCAATTGTGCAAACTGCTTTGAAAACTACCTATTTTTTCCATTGTTTATGGGTAAATTTCAAAAATAATGGATTTTGTCTATCACAAAACTCCTTTGTTCGGGGTCCATTAAATTGATGTTTTACAGTAATTTTATTGTAATTTATTCAATTACTACATCTTGATTTATTTAAGTCTCCTATTTCAATAATTTTTGTCAGTATCTTCTCAGTAAAGATTTTACTAAATCTGTCAAAATATAAATTGAATTCATACTAGATTCTTTTTCTTACATAGGAGCATCATAAAAGATCAATCCCTAAGGATACTTGGAACCTTCTTTTAGACTTTGGAAATATGATTGCAGATGATATGTCAAACTATGATGAAGAAGGTAAGTGATGTAGATATGTTTAAATATAATTATTTTTAAATATTATCTTTAAAAATTCTATCTTTAACTAGATATTAGCAATATTAGGAATGTAACTATTAAAGGGGTTAGCAACCCTCTTCTCCATTGCTACTTTCACTGTCGTTCCTGTGCTGAGGTGGCTGGTGAAGGACTCACCAAAATGGCTGTCCAAGGAGGTGGAAAACGCTTCCTCCTTCTCTGTTGTAGGTCAGGTAAATAGATGTATTTTTGGGACAGTGGGCCAGATGATTATGGGTGGTAGGCCACATCTTGTCGTTGCTAACCCTCACATTATAATCAGTGGGATTAATTTGAGTTCTACTGATTTTAGTGACTTGGTGAATACGAGTTAAATTTCAATTTCTTAACCAATATTTTCTTCTTTATTGTATGTATGGATATATGTATGTACTGAAAAGAATTGTGATTCTAAAATGTAGCTAAGTACACTGCATTTAAATTAGGTGTTAGAAGTATTTCTGACAGATTATTGTTATATTTTCCCATGAAGAAGATGCTTTAATTTTATAGATTTGGATTTATAGGGCTGCCCATCTTGCCATAGTGACTCTAGGGAGCTAGCAATAAATAAAAATACCATACAAACTAAAAAAAAGTGATGAACATTAAGATAAAAAACAAATCTAATAAAATAAGAATATCTCAAAGGCTCCAGGTAATTTCTTGATTCCTCATGCATAGGAATGGGGAATCAAGTCTGGCATGCTTTTTGGAACGTCAGCAGAGTTAGGGTTTGATCTTGGCGGTATGGTATTCCAAAGGGCAGACAATGTGACAACACAACTACAAGCCCAAGAGAACCTTTAAATCAAGGCTTGCTCTTTTAAGGGGAGAGTCACCTTATTCAGGACCAAAGTTGGAGCTTTTAAAAAGGTTTATAATTTCTGAATAGTGATTCTGCCTTACTGTGATTCAGCTTGATCCTTTTTTGACTAGCCTCCAGTACCAGGACAAGACATCCACTGCATCTCTTATATAATCCAGCTGAGAAATGTATATTTGTGTTCTTTAGGATTTTGATGGTATGTGTCCACAACTAACCAATGACTCCTCCTAGTACTTTTATGTAATTGCTAAATAACATGAAGAAGAGGGCTGAGCCCTCGGCCATTCTCTTCCCTATTCTTGTTGAGTGGATTCACCTGCTTTGGGAAGAATAGAAATGGGACAGTAATTGACTAATAACTTTAGATTAAGACATATCACCACCACCTCCTCCAAGAGATACAGATTACTATAATATCAGATTGCTGTAAATATTCAGAGCCTTTATTCAGAATTGTTTAATTCCTCTTTAGGAGCGTGGCCAGTCCTAATAGATGATTTTGTGGAATACGCAAGACCAGTAGTTACAGGAGGAAAACGTAAAGCTTCCTAACCATGACTTCTCAGTGGACTAACTCTGCAGTTTGAACTGCATCGGGTAATGAAGACTTTTGGCCAATAACTGTGCACACTGTCATCAATTTCAAAAGTTGAGGTGGGATGCCACTGACAAAACAGAAATCGCTACTTCTGCAAGAAAATGATGGCTGGCTCATGGACACTGCAAGAAGAAATTCAAAAGATAGCCCAGGCTATCTGTAGGATACTGGCTTCAATTACTGTACTGGTTGTATTATATAGGATGTAGATTTTGCATGATTTTATACTTTGGAAAAGTTTAACTAGAGGCCATTTTAGTAAAATTTTGACAGCACAGCATGCCATTCAGTTCATAATACAGGGTGAACACCAGCAGTTACATAAATACAACTGTATTATATTGTACTTATATTAAAAGCAGTATTTGTGATATATAAATTAAATCTCTAAATAAAATATGTGGTATGTGGTATTTTTCTACATAGCGAATACAGTGCAATATTTATTAATTTATTTTCCTGATACAGTATTCTGTGTTTCTAAATCTTTTTATTACAACCTCCATTTAAAAAAAATGTTTTCCTCATTCCAATGCCAAATGAAGTTTGTACTCCTTATTCACACAATTTAATGGTTTGATAGACGCTTCTATCTCTCTCTTTGTTCCCTTCCTGGAGGTCAATTACACCATTCTTGTTGCCAGACTTAAGGAAGTTTTATCAGTCCTGCTTCTCTATCTGCTCTCAGCAAAGAAGCATTGTTGGGGCTACAAGCCAGAGTCTCCTGCTTTTCCATCCGCTAACCGACTGCATACCATAATGGCCCACATGATCGGCTTTCTGCTACCTGCCTCTCTCAGCCACTGCCCATTCAGGCCATCTTCCTAACAGCTTTCTTGCTTCACTCAACTCACTACTTATGGTTCCCCAGAGTGTTGCCTATCAAGTCAGCACTTTCATTCCTTTCCTCTTACTCAGAAAGTAAGAGATTTGTAAGAGGCATTTAGGGATGCCTCTTACTCATGCCTGAAACTTGGGTAGCATTTTCTTGAGAAAACATGCCCTGTTTTCTGTTCAGGGCTTCCCAAAAACTAATAGTCAGGTTATTTTGGGATGCTGTCTGGATTATAATACTGTTATATCCAAAATTGACTACAGACCACTCCTTTAAAGGGTGACTATAGCAAGGTGGCTTTAAGTATCAGTAACCTTGCCATGTATTTAATAATAAAGAAGCCTTGATTATTTTAAATATACAGATAAATTCTGCTACTATCACTGTGCTTAATTTTCAACCGAAATTGAAGCTGCTTAAAAGTACTCAGCAGAAATAAGTGTGCAAAAGAGTATCTTGTGTTTTGTATTAAAATATTCTCAGGGTGGTGAGCAACTTCTAAAGGACTAGTCAGAAAGAAATAGTGTGTTGCCTGGTTATTGACTCTGGGTTTGATCCTGACTCAAAGTGAATTGCTTCTGTGCTAGTACTGTTGCTTTCTTTTTGTCTGACTACAAATAAAATAATAAAAGGAATGGCAAATGTAAAAAGTGGCTGTTGTGCCTCCTGTATAGCGTAGGTTTGAAAAATAGACATATTTTGGGATCCTGCATGCTTTCTTAAAATCTGTCTTTCACATGATTGTTAAAACTAACTGCTCTTCATTGTATAATTGGTCATTGTGAAAACAGACAAGAGAACATGTATGCTAAATTCAAAGTGGAATTCTGCATGAATTAAAAAAACTTCAGCATGGTAGAGCGTACACCCCCCGGGGGGGGGGGGTTGAGAACATTAGCGACAGAAATGTGAGAAATGGGTTATCTCTCATTCCACCACTAGATGCCAGTAACTCAGTTGTTATTGTTTCATTTTCTTGTCTCAGACAATTACAATAATACTAAAGACTAATGTACTACTTTGTTGCATTCTCAAATACAAAAGTATCCCTCACTGAATTTCTTCAAATGAATTTAAAAACAAAAAAAGTTTTGCTTAGAAACTCATTAGACATAATTGTGTTAAAACATGTTTAAATGTTAGTCTTAATATTTTCTAACAGAAAGAGTTTATTCTTTTAACTAGGGAAACAACCACATACTCCAGACATTACCATTTTGTATTAGAGTTGATTTATTTTCTCTTGCAATCCTATTATGACAATATCAAGCTATTCATATCGGGAGTTTTAAGAAATGGAAACGCTTAAACTTTCCTACAATGAGCAATATTCTTAAATGTATCAGTAGCTAAAATGAAGACAAACTAAATATTTCCACCTATCATTGATACATGAGAGATTTCTGTGCTTGTAGGAAATGAAAAACCAAGATTGAGAAAAGGTGGTTACTAATGGTCTTCATACACAGCTTACAAAACTAGTGTGAATTCAATCGCTTACCTTGTTGCAGCATAAATAATATGTTTGTTGGAACTGTTTATCTGAAACAAAGTGTGTGCACTGGGCATTCACTTCTTATTAGTGGAATATGTTCATTTACTTTTTATAAGATTTTATACTCTTCAATCAGTTCACGTTTTTAAATCAAAGTTATTTCAAATTGGAAGACGGTATCTTCAAGATCACTAGTATGAAATGTTCTTCACAAAATCACATGAAACAGATCAAAATTTAAGTTTAATGCAGGTTGAAAGAGTAAAACTGTAGACCAAATACAGTATAACAAGTCATTTGGAATTTGTCCAGCTCTTTAGGACAAACCCAGCATGATTCTTCTGTAGCACACAGGATTTAACCAGTAATTGCATGATAACTACAATATGTTAACTTCATAGTGCAGGGATTGTAACAACAAGGGAAATGCCAGCACAGGATGATGGGGCTGATTCAGGGGTGAAATCAACTTACCTTCGCTATCGGTTCACAAATGTGAGCGCACAGACCACCTCTGCACATGCGCAGGACCTTCCATACATGCACAGAGCGACAAAAATGGACATGATGACGGGTGGGTGGAGCCTGCTACCAAGCGCACCTGGAAAGGTAAGTAGAACAATGGGAGAAATCCGATGTGCCAGGAAATCCTGCTTTCTAGCTAATATAAATCGTGTCACAACTGATTGTTGGAAATACCAGTTTGCCCAAACCAGTAGCAATAGCAATAGCAGTAGACTTATATACCGCTTCATAGGCCTTTCAGGCCTCTCTAAGCGGTTTACAAAGAGTCAGCATATTGCCCCCAACAATCTGGGTCCTCATTTTACCCACCTCGGAAGGATGGAAGGCTGAGTCAACCTTGAGCCGGTGAGATTTGAACCGCTGACCTGCTGATCTAGCAGTAGCCTGCAGTGCTGCATTTAACCACTGTGCCACCTAGCATTTTTTTTACTACCGGTTCAGGCAAACCAGTAGCATTTTTTATTACCAGTTTGGGTGAACCAGTCCAAACTGGTACCATTTCACCCCTGGGCTGACCAAGCATCAGAGAATTTTTTTCTTTTGAAAATTAAATTCCAAATCTAAAGGAGATTCTTCACAATCTATGAAGTCAAAGCTCTCATGGCTGTTTCCACGCATATACTTCATATACCTTCCAACTACTTCATTTCCTTAGGCACAGCATATTGTAAAAAGTGCCTCTTTGGAAGGAACTGCGACCCTGTTAAATTCTCTACCAAAAAGATATGACTTGGAATAAAGATTAGAACTTTTTTGCAAAAGTCAAAATGCTTTATCTTTTTCCCAGCATTTATCACTGAAAGGAATTGAAACATTTACTGAAATAACAGTAAGTTTGTATTTGTAAGCTGCATCTTCCCAGTCATGGTTAATAATAAAATAATTTTGTTTCTAAAATAATGTTTGCATTATTATAATAGGAAATAATTCAAGAATGCTAAAATTACTCATAATGCTACATGATAATTTTTATTATTTTTTAACTTGCTTTGTAAGTATCCTCACACATCTACAAAGAATAGAATAGAATAGAATAGAATAGAATTATTTATTAGCCAAGTGTGATTAGACACACAAGAAATTTGTTTCCGGTGCATAAGCTCTCAATGTACATACAACAATAGTGATAGATCATTAGCATAATCATTGTAAAATACATTCATCATAAAACATTAGATACAACACTTAGTGGTAGTCATAAATACTAAATAAGCAATCAACATAAATCACACTAGGATACTAAGTAAACAATTTTACTTAAGAGTAAATTTTAAGAAAAGCAACAAAATTATAGTCATAAGATAAGGAAATAGGTAATAGAGAAGATGAAAATAATGATGGTAATAATGCCTTTTAGGTAGTTTTGTGGGAATTGGTTTATCAGAGTGATGGCATGGGGGGGTGGAGAACTGTCCTTGTGTCTCGTTGGTTTGTCAGTTTACAATTTAAACTATCAATCTTAAATTAATCATTACAACTTCTATCTTTTCATTGTGAGGTAATATAAAACTTACCTACTTATTTTTATCATTTACACAAATGTCAGGTTTTAACAAGGAAGAAAGATAAGATGATGGGAATCAAAAAAAAGTCAATGAAATCTTTTCTGAGAAGTGCAGAATAATTCATCTATATATGTGCACAACAAAGTGATTCTAATGCGCAAATGCTGAGCAGGAAAATCAGTTCCAATTGTTTATGCATCTCATAGTATTTGCATCTAGACAGCATTTGAAGATGATACTATGGAGACAAATCTATAGCTGTTTCAGTTCAATGTAGGGATTGGAAAAGAGATTTGTTTCAGTACAGGTTTGAATTATTTTCTCAATAATGTTTTTGATCTTCTGAGTGTGATGTCCATAAAATCAGTGTGTTTCTGTGTTCCTTAAAGAAACACAACAAGGCAATGATTCCAAAATTGGAGAAATGTACCAATTTGAACACCTATAAAAATAAGTCTCTTAATTCAATACATGTCTTTCAAGGGATAGAGTTACATAAACCGGAGAGATCAGATATTTCTTGGCTTGCTTTGTCCTAGGGCTTCTGAGTTTTACAACTACACTTATTTGTGTTCTGTACATATTCTAAGCTTGCAGCTTAAAAATAAGTTGGAAAATATTTGAACTAACAGTTTTATCTTGACCATTGGCTATCAGAGAAGCACTGGCATATATGCATGCCAAGAAAGGCCAGGCTTCCCTTATACGGACAGTTCTTTGCAATGACACAATGGCTCCGATATAAAGTGTTGCTTAATCTAAGCTAGAAGGCAAAGGAACAAAGAAACATCAAGAGCCTATTTGAGACCAAAGAGAACTGAACACGCAAGTCATTTAATGATGGAGAAATTTAAGGCTGCTTTGTTACTAGCAGGGGTAGGGGATGCTTTGGGCTATCGAAATTTTATTCATGAAAACAATGCTTTAGGTGCAAAGATCCAAGAAGAATTGAAAGAAATTGGAGGACTCGGGAACCTGGTCTTGTCCTCCGACAAATGGCCAATAAGCGACAATACTTTGATGCACATGGCAACAGCTGAAGCTCTCATCACAGGTAGGAGAGGAAAAATGTTATTATCTGGATGCAGACTGGAGGGTAGGAAGAGAACTGGAGAAGAGCTGTTATAATCATGTTTACTAGCTGAGCAGTGAGCTAATGCTACCTTTGGTGAATGAAGCTTAATAGGCCATGTGTTTGCCCTAAACTTAAATAAGGTAAAAAAGAGTGTACATAAGGAAGGAAGTCTATGACTCAAATGCTACCTCAACCATGAACTCATAAAGTCACCTGTAGTGAGGCACTATGCATATATGTTTATCTGCAATGTTTGAAATATCATACTTGTCTATCATAAAATGTTTTATGAATAATGCTAGGAATAAATAATTTATTCCTAGTAAAAAATTAAATAATTATTTAAAGTGCAAAATTAGCTCTATTTTATTTATGCATCAAGCTGAATTCCAATTAGCAAGGTTGTACATTAGCTCATTTTGGATGTATAAATTTGGTTCAAAGGAATACATTAAGATTGCATGATACACTGAGTGAATACGGAAAGAAAAACTAATCTCAAATGCCAGTTCTGCCCTATAGATAAGCAGTTCTTTGGTGTGGCAAAAATCAGCCTCCTGCATCAACAAAAAATGATATAACATTCACACAATTGTATTTTGTACCCAGTTTATCATGCACGTTCAGGGGGACAGATATAATATAGGTTTCTTTGGTAAAGAAAAAAGCATTTCCTAAACTGTATTGCTTTCTTATTTTTTGTGTGTATTGTAGAATCAGATATGTCAAAGTCAATGAAATTCATTTAAATCCCTGTATCTGACTGCTGTTCTAAAATTAGCTGCCACTGATCTGTTGAGGAGAATCTTGAGTATTTCTTATCTAGCTACTAGTTAGCCAATGAAGTGAGATAGAGCTAACACCCTAAAGATAATGGCAAGATGTCAACCTATCAAAGCAAAGGATGACTAGCATACTTCTGAATATAGTCAATGATTAAATACACGTCATATGTCCCTTGCTTCTTGACCTCTGAGCATTAAGGTTATCTGGAAGCCTTATCAGCCGGCTCTGCAACCATTTTTAGATACAGTAGTTCCAAATTAGCAAGTTCATATTTCTCTCAATATGTATAACACGACTTGTCAGGATACACCTTGACCTTGATTTCATCAACTGTATTTACAGGCAGCAGCTATTCAGTGTTTTTGTCTGTTTTTATTCTAAACAGGGAAATAGGCTGTTTCTTTTATTATATAAAGCATTACTCAATAACATTTAAAATGAAGTTATATAGATAAAAGCCATTTTATAACAGGGAATATAGATGTTGATAGTTTATTATAATCCACCAGTTGGCAGAAAAAAGGGTATTTGACAAAGGATAAGTTTGAAATAACCATGTTATCTGGAAACTAACCATGCTACCTTTCTAGAAAATGGAAAATAGATAGAAATCCATTTTCTGCTTTTGTATTTTGATAGTTCAACTGCTTTTCCATACTTAAAAAATCTGTTGAAATGCAAAATGCTTGTTAGAAATGTTAGTTACAAGCACAGTGGATGTCACAGACATAGCAGTAAAATATCCATTTAGAAATTTATTATTCTCTCTTTTTCTATGTTACAATATCTAACAAGGACTTGTGCTGATGTGCAATTATTCTCACAAACAGAACAATGATCGATACAAAAACCAAAGCCATGAAACTATCTAAATTCATTAACAAACAATTAATTCAAATTAAACCAGATGCAATTAAGATATAATTAAATAGGCAACCAATAAACAGATATCCATCCTCAAATTGCTTTCTGAGTAATTCTATTTTCAAGCCCTTAATAAAATACAAGAAGAAAGGTACATCTGGCCATTTCATTTTATTAGAATCCTAATTTAATTATTCCAGAAGCAGCTAATGACACTTTACAGCAGTTTTGTTTATTACACCAATATAATTCCTATTTTATAAAAGGGTAAGGGTCTCTTATCTAGGACACTGAATAAATACATGACAACCACTGGTCAAATACAATGGTTCTCAGCCAGAAATAACAGGTACATTGGCTTGTTCCTCCATGGGTCAACACTGCTGCCATTCATCATGAACTAAGCCATTTTCTGAGTGGTCTTTTGCATAGCAGTGTTGAAGTACTATTCTTGAGGGCAGAGGGCAACATAGGGTATGCCTGTAGGAAAACACGCTGGCAATACTTCCACCCCTGATTCTGTCTCAACAAAAAGATGGAATATGGTGCTATCCATGTAAGAACCAAGGGGAGGAGACAAACAGGGTGTGAAAGGCCTCTTGATGTCAGATTTCCAATTTAACACAGTGTTTGGAGAACTGTAACCAGGGACACCATCATTGCCACTTGTCTCTTCCTGGTTTCTCCTACCATCCATGGGAAGAGAAGTAAAGGGGAGAGAAAAGTGAATGTCTTTTTTGTGACAGTTTTCCATATACGAAGATCAGCCTCCCCTTCCCATCTTTCCCATCTCTGCATTATCACATGGAAGTGATGGCTTAAGCCACTTAAACTCCAAGTGGGGGTAAGCAACTCTTCAATTGCCACTCACATGTGGTAAGACCTCTGGATGCATGTCAAAAATGGCAGCTATCCAGCCCCACTGATCAAATGGTGTGCCAGGACTGATTTGAGCACAGCAAACACAGCAGCACCCTGAAGGTGGAGGATCTTTAACCCGGAGACCTACTCTTGGCTTTCCATCCAAACAAGTCCTGGCAACCTTAGGATTCTGCTACCACATCATATATTACATCATATATTACACATGAATGTGTATTGGCTCTCTGGTGATGGGTCAGGGATGTGTTGAAAGTACATTGATAATTTATGTCTTCCAAGTACTATTGTTGCAACTTCTACGATTGGCAAGGTGTGCAGAAAAACCCTAAGTATGTATTCCTATTTGATTTCCACAGCTGCCCAACTTACAAAAGTGACTCTGAGTGGCTTATAAATGGTTAGAAGTGCAATAAACAAAAGAATCAGAAACCAAACCACAACAAACATGCAAAACAAAATATATGAGGCCAACAACAGCTATACCATCTTTTCAATTCTGGATGTTCTTATTCCATACTCTGGCCCAATGCCCCAGGGAATAAACTAGGTTTGTGGAAGATCAGCAGGGTTGGAGCCATCCAAACCTTGGGTAGAATTCTATTCTATAGAGCAGCCACTGTAACAAAGAAGGCACACCTAGATCCTGCCAGGAGGGACTGTTTCATACAAGGGACCTGAAGCATGTCACTCATTCTTGGCTCTCCTGAGATGAGCTAACCGGAGATAGTTGATCACATGAATAAGTTTTTGGAAAGTGGATTTGTTTTGAATTTTTTCTAACACACAATGGAAATATGCAGAATAAGAATCAGATGCTAAAGGAACTACACATTTTAATTAAAGAATAAAAACCCTAATTAGCAGCTTCAGAATGATACAAAATATAATATTGAAAATATTGAAGGACCATTTTGAAATATGGCATCAGAAGTTAATATGAATAACGTCAATAGTGATGTTTGTTTCTATCGGTAGACTATGTCCAAAAGTTATTGTGGAATAAATGATAGAAGAGGAACAAGACAGAGACAGAACTGACACTAAAAGTGGATATACTAATGACAGGCTATAAGAATGACATGCAAAAAGATGTCTCATTGGACGTACAAAAGAAATGGGTTCATGCTTTAAAAAGCAACAAGTAATTACAAATAATAAAGCAAGATATTGATCTGGATAATTGTTTTATATTAGATTTATAAAAGGTTTCTTAAAGCTTCCATGAATCTTATGAGAAGGGGCAAAAGATAAATGAAATCAAGTTCTACAACATTGTAGTACTTTAACTAAAGATCAAGTTATTAGAAGTAAAAGAAGGAATATAAAGCTAGTTTATTTTATCAAAGTTAAAATACTGTAGATATGTTGTTGTTTCTGACAATCCTTAATGAAGTTCTGCTAGGACTGAAATGATGATGCTTTATGGATTTGATTAGAGATAAGAATGGGATATGGAATGAAAACATCATAGGCTGTAATTAACAGGAGATGAAAAGTTACTAAAATTGTTTATACTTGTGATGAAGGTTGGAAGTCCTTCCTTCCTTCCTTTCTTCTTTCTTTTAATTCATATTATTTACTACTACTGCAATTATAATCTTTAATAAAACTATTTTTTACATATCAAGTCACTTACAGTTGGGATACGTTTTATCTACACTTGTTTAGTACTGCCTTAGAGCAGAGAGAGTGTGAGTGCTCAAGAAAATAATCTTGCTGTCATGTTGGGTAGTTCAGTTAAAATATTAGCACAGTTGTTGCTGTTTTTTTTTTAAACAGTAAATTCAATTCTAGCAATTATTAGAAAAAGAATTGCCAGTAATGAATGTCCTTCCAGAAACCTACCAGAAACCATAATATTCCATCCTATGATTTTACTGATTATCAAGCCTCTATAAGTCTCAAGCATTTGAAAAGAGCAAACACAGATATCTAAAACAAATAGAGAGCCAAAACAATTTCTCTACAAGAAAAATCTGCTGAACAATGGTTGCATTGGTTTGTTTTTAACCTACAGCAATAGAGGATAAGGAGAGACTTCACAGAAGTACATAAATTATAAATGATATGGAAGATATGGGTCCTTTAATTTTCAGAGCACTAACCTTTGAAATTAAATGCAGAAAGATTCAGGAACAGCAAAAATATGAAAAGTGTGTTTACATTTCACAGACTTAACAATAGCATTTCCTACATTTAGAATTTTTTAAAGGAAAAGTATGCATATTCATAAAGAGCTGTGCTAACACTGCCTTCTGATGCTACATCTGAATCATAGGCAACAACCTTGAAGAATGACTATCTGCTACACTTCATTAGAAGGAGAAATTGATCTTCTGTTTGTGAACTTTCTAAATACATCTGTTTGGCTAAACCATGTTACAAAATACAAGGTCTTTTGGGTTCTAATAAAATTGTATGATGGAGATAAAACAATGTTCTTAACTCTGTGGTAAAGCAAAAAGAACTCCTGCATGTACAAAGAACTTTCCACTTATTTTTTATTTCCAGTATTCAACCCATACGCATGTGAATGAAAGTAAATTATACATGTCCATACCAAAATAATGTTGCGGGATGCATTCTGAGTCAGTCACCGGGAACGAAGATTTATACTTCCATTCTTTCAGGCTCAACCTGGAAAGCACCATCGGGAAACTTCTCTCTCTTCAGAATATGTGCATATATATCTGGTTGTGTGTAGCTTTTAGTTATTAATTAGAGTGTTGATAACTGGCTATTAAGTCATTAATTATTTCTTGTGCCACCGTAATAGGCTCATGATAAATCAACACTTCTATTGACTGACAATGGGCCCATTTCCCTAGATTCAATGTTTCTCTGGTTATTTTTGTCCCTGCTCAGCCAACAATCATTGTAGCTGCAAAATTGAATTAGTCATTGCAATGTGATGGTACCAATGAGTAACCATTCAATTGTGTTCTCGCCATCTGGTGGATAGCTTATCTGTCACACATAGTTGCAAGGGCAATCCATTCTGGGAATCCAGTAAATTACATTAGAAGTTTCTTCCACCTTCAAACAATCATATTCATGTGTTCCATGTGACATAGCAAAGTTCACTGCCTTTCTAATCATTCACAAATAGAGGATCTGTGACTCTTAAGAAGTGAACTTGCTGGTTGGGATCACTGAGAACTATAGTTCAGTGATATCTATGGACCTCACTTACTTTTCCTCTCAAAGTAGATGTACTATAATTTACATTTCTCATGAATTTATACTTTGCTACCATTTACTGCTTATCCAAATGTTTGCAGCCAAAATTGTAATCCTATAGTATCATAAACTCACTCAGCAGAGATAGAAATAAGCCAGGCTGAGTGTAATGAGACTAATGTGTTGATAACCATGCATAGCTGTTCTATTTATCATTGCCATTCATGTATGCCAAGACTGTAATGATGTAACATGTTAAATGACTGTGACAATGAAATAATTGCTCTGTTCAGACATCATTCATGTTCTTCCTTCTTTTTTAACATTTCCTGCTGTATACAAATGTATCTTATTTTTTGCCTGCATAGATTATTGGTGCTTAGAAGATCTGTATCGTGAACTTGTTAAACGTTATGTTGATGCTGTTGAAAAACTTTCTGAGAGAAGGTCAGATCCTGCTACTATTGAAGGATGTTCTCAATTGAAGCCAGATAATTACCTCCTTGCTTGGCATACACCCTTCAATGAGAAAGGTATGCTGAACATTTAACAAAAGCCATATTACATTCTTGTTCTTTCAGAAAAAAAGATGCAGACCATTGTTGGATCAAAGGCCATGGTCTTTTGACATCCCAAAGTTCTAGGACAGAACCAAATATACAATTATGGTGTTGAATCTAAATTCATTATAAACTATTCTGAATTTTAAAAAAATCCCTACCCATTTATCTAAGACTTTTCTTTTGTCTGACCTATTAAAAACCACAGTTGAGAAGGTTTTCAAAATATTCTGGAAACTGTATTTAAAGGTCTCAAGGGCTGCATAAAGTTTGAAGCTTTGGGTGTGGAGTCCCTACCCTGTTTCAAAATAGCCTAAAGTAGTTACAGTAAGTGGCAAGGAATGCTAGACAAGTCAAGATAAGTGGGGACTAGGCTAATATTCCTGTACAGTTACAATCACTGGACAAGAGCCTAATACTGGGAAAGACTGAGGGCAAAAGAAGAAGGGGACAACCCAGAATGAAGTGCCTGGATTGAGTCACTGAAGCAGCAGGTGTGAGCATAAATGGACTCCAGAGGATGGTAGAGGACAGGAAGACCTAGAGGAACATTGTCCATGGGGTCGCAATGGGTCAGACACTACTTCGCAACTAACAACAACAACAATCATTTTGAATATATTAGAAGCCACGATGGTGCAGTAGTTAAAAAACAGTATTGCAGGCTAACTCTGTCCACAGCCAGGAGTTCAATCCTGACTAGATCATGATTGACTCACCCTTCCATCTCTCCGAGGTCAGTAAAATAAGGACCCAGATTGTTGGGGGCAATATGCTGAAATTTGTAAACCACTTAGAGAATGCTGTGAAGCATGGTGCAATGGTATATAACTCCTCTGACATGTGGGGAAAAATCATGGTGTGCTGTATAGCTGAGCAACAATTCTATATGTGCCTGGAGAAACATAGTCAGCTGCCAAGAATTCCTTGGGGAGGGTTCAGCTCGGTGTCCTTTTGTAAATTATCTCGGCTTACAAATAGCTCAATATCTATTTCTAGAGTCTTTGTTCTTGGCATGATGCGTCCTGATTCCAGATTTTTGACCTGGAATTTTGTAGTCATTTCCAGCAAAACAGTTGATCATGTTTCATCTGGAGCTGTACATTTTATCAGTTTCATTTATTGAAATCAGATTCCTGGGACAATCTAACCACATACACATGATGCCTCTGAGTGTAGGACAAAACTTTGACTGACAGTTTGATTTCTCCGGTGACTTCACTTTCTTTCCCTCCTGGTGTATAATGCACAAACCTAACACCCACATGTGCAAACTGCAGAACCTGTTCTATAGTCGGAATGCTGGCAAGTTTAAGGGGCCATATTTCAAAAGCCCAGCTTCCACTGGATGACGCAGATTCCAGATCCAGCAGTGTATTAATATGACTCTGTTTCATTGGGACATAAAGGCACACAATTGGAGCATCATCTTGTAAGGTAGCGTCATGGCATAAACATTGCAACATACTATGGCAATTATTTTTGTCCCTGAGCACTGCAGTACACCACTGATGTCAAAACAGCTGCCCACCTCACTTTCCAGAAGAAGAAGAAATAAAATAAAACTAGGCCAGTCTTGGATTATAGTTTCCCATAGTTTCTCTATGTCTCCATCTGATCCTTTTTATGGTTCAGCCAACTGGAGGGTAGCAAGTTGTTATGACAGAGAAGAATCTGTCTGTCTCATACTACTCTGAGAGGAAACTTGAGAAGGTGTCAGTAATACCATTACTATAAACCATGAGTGAAAAAATAAGTAACATTCAATCATGGGAACATGCTATTTTTTCCACTTTATGTAACTTGGAAAATTCCCAATTAGTCATTCAAGAAGACTGAATCTACAATCTTCCTAATATCATTTAGTATAGTGCAGTGATTTATGATAGTAAGTGTCTGAGCTTGAAGCTGATGAAGCTGGAGGTTTTGATTCCTGTGACAGAGAAAGGCATTTTGTAAACAAGTGATGGGCACCAGACATACTCAAGGAAAAGAAACAAATCTTGGTTTGTTGAAGATTTGAAAAGGGGAAGGAAGATGCCCAGAAATCAAAACCTTCGGATAAATAAATATAATAAAGGCAGTGTTTTTATGTGAGAAAGAGATAAAGGTATTCCTCAACTTATGTCCACAATTGAGCCCAAAATTTCTGTTGCTAAGCAAGATGTTGCTTGATGAATTAAGCCTCACAGCATATGTATTTATTATGCTTTCATTAGTATTATACTTTGGCCATTTGGGGATGTTTATATTTTAAAATTCTAAATAGCTCCAAATGGTCAAACTAAAAATTGTTAAATATAATATAATCTTTTATTTTGTTCTTTAAAGAACCGTTGTTGGGTTGCTGGTTAGAAGAAACATCTGTATGGGAAAAAAACGCAGAGGTTGTTACCATTTCAACGTGGATTTTTGAAAGTCTGTATTTTATACAGGTAGTCTTTGACTTACAATCACAATTGAGCTCAACATTTATGTTGCTAAGTGAAACATTTGTTAAGTGAATTTTGCCCCATTTTACCACCTTTCTTGCCACAGTTGTTAAGTGAATCACTGCACTTGTTAAATTAGTGACAAGGTTATTAAGTGACTCTCTTCCCCATTGACTTTGCTGGCCAGAAGGTCATAAAAGGTGATCACATGATCCCAGAAGACTGCAACAGTCATAAATATGAGTTGGTTGCCAAGTTCCAGAATTTTGATCATGTAACCATGAGGTTGCTGGAACAGCCGTAAGTCACTTTTGTCAGTGCTGTTGTAACTTTGAACTGTTGTATGCCAAGGACTACCTGTATAGAAATACGTCCAATTAATGGTGAAAAGTTTGTTGTTAGTAAACATTACAGAACTGAAATGCACCTTTGTTCGATCAAAAGTATTTAAGAAGTGAGGAGAAATTAATTACCTGGGGTGAAAAATTAATACAACACTCCAAACACTTTAAACCCATGGAGAACACACACACACACACACACACACACACACACGACAAAAATCTTTTTCAGTAGGGACTAATTCAGCCTTATTGTGATTTTTCTAATATATTACCCTCATCTGTTGAAATGTAATTTGATGTAGAAAGTTTGTCTGTGGGGAGGGAGGAGGGAGTGTGTAAAGTTTACACCTGGGATTGGGGTGTCTGTGGAGCCTCTGGCGACTCTTTCTTGCATGATGGAGAGCCTTCTACTGGTTTTTTGTGTTAGGCTTAAGCATTGAATATATTGTAAGCTGAAAATTTCAAAATGGGTGGTTTTATTAAAATTAATAAACAAAGAAAACATCAAAAATTCTCTTCAAATGCTTATTTATATGTTGTATGTATTCCAAATTATTATTCATTTCTTTAAAAACTTGCTCCTGGTTACTTTGTTTTTTTAAAGTTTGTTTATTATGGTTGGTCACATAGTCAGCCAGATATTTAAATTGGATTTGGCATTTTTATCCATCTATAGATTCCTTTCCAAGGACATGAGATAGGCAGATCTTGTTGTTTGACGGTGTTAAAGGCATTATAGCAAGATGTATGCTGTTCCAACTAAAGCCGCCTTTGGCAATTGACTAGTAGTGAATTATTATTATTTATTACATTTATATGCTGTAGCATTTCTGCTATACTATTTCTATGGATTTCTTTATATTTAATTAAATTGTTCATGCAACCATGTTAAAAACAGTGGAACTTTCTTTACGAATGTACATGGTGTCGTTTGTCATATAGGTTCAGGGTTTGGTGCAGCTACAAAAGCCATGTGTTTAGGGATGAAATACTGGAAGCCCGAAAGGCTGGAAACTCTCATTGAAGTGAGCATTGAAGTTGGACGAATGACTCATAACCATCCTACAGGTAATCTCCAGGAAAATTAGCACACTTAATCATCCTATATAAAACACTGTCATTAGCAAATGACTGAGTAGAGTAACACATATCCTGGATGATGGGGTACCATATGTTTTATGTGACATCTGTACAATTAAAGGCATTATGTTCTAGTACACTGAATATATGTTACAATATATGAGATCTCTTAAGCTTAGAACTTCATTAATCATATGAAGACAAACACTAAAGTATGGGGGGAAATTGGGGCGAAAACATTTATATACCCATTAACCTTCCCCTGAAAATTCTAGAGCAGGGCTGTCTCCCAGCCCATAGACCAGATGCATCATGCGCTGGCCAATGCTCATGCCCAGTTTAGCAAAGGGAAAAAAAGTCCCGATATGTCATGTGACCCTGCTGTGACGACATGAGTTTGACACCCCTGTCCTAGGGAATACTGTACAGGATACTGTAATGGTATGTGGGAATACCTTGGGAGACAGGAGGAAGAGCCACAACCTAGACAATAGTTTAATAAACTAAGTTTGAATCCAAATGAGGAAGTGTAACAAAAGCATCTTAAAAGGAACTCTCCCTAGTTTTCAGGAGAGTAAAGTGAAGGAAGGGAAGGGTACTTTCACACTTGCAAGACTCTGTTAATGTAACCTTAGAATAAAGATAGAGCTAGTACTCTTGGTTGTGCTTCTTATCTGGAGTACTTTGCAAGCTAACAAATGTTTACACACACATAAATATAAGAAGAAAATAATTATGGGAAGAATTTGCAAGAAAAGATGCTTGATATTTTCTGGAAGAGCTGAGGTAATAAAATGTAAGTTTCTAGTATTAAAAACAAAATATATTAAGATTAAATATGTTAATGCAGGCGTGCACAAACGTTTGCCAGTAATCCTATTTTATTTAGTCATTAAGAAGTTCCATCTGTTGTAAGGACTCACTTCCAAATGCCTTGATTTAGAAGCTATCTTTTTTATTCCAAGCGGAATCCTAGGGCCAAGGATTCCGAAGTGTGATTTGGTTGCAGTGTGACAGGTTCACATTCTGAATTAACATATGTTTTCACAGCTGTAGTTCAGGGAGCAGGAAGGAGCTATGAAAAAAAATGGGGATCATAGGTATAACCTAAAGAGGTAGAGACAATGGGGCGATTGCCCAAAAGGAACTAAAGTAAGAAAGGTGGATGGGCAACAGAAGAAGCACACACACACACACCAGGAACCAATAGTAAACCTACAGGTATGCTTACTGGGGAATTCAACAAATCTGGAAACATCCTAATTAGCGAATGATACGTTAGATAGTGACACACTATGATCTCAGCATGCACATTAATGGAAAACTTTCTCCTTTTCTGACTTCCTACTAAATATCAGATGAGAATCAGCTCTGATGTGTGTCAGAAATGCAAACTTAAAGTAGGTCTATCATATTTTCTAGAAACCAACATGTGTATTCAGTATAGGAGTAATTGCCATAAAATATGCAAAATCATTAAATGGGTTAATCAATTATTGCCCCAATGAAGAGAGTAATGTGTAAGCTAAAATTCAAATCAGTCTTCTCCCCAAGCAGTGACATGAAACAGGATATTAATTCATTTTTTAGCTTTGAATCATTAAAAATTTCTTTTGAATTTCTGCATCCCATTCTCCTGTCATAATCATTGAGGTCAGAACTGCATAGAGAAATAAAATAAGTCACCATCCTGGCATGTTACTATGAAAACATGCCGGCCAGCTACCTCCTAAAGACAGATATAAGTAGCAGGTCATCTCTATTCTCTGAAATGTTTCATAGTTGTGGTTATGTGTTGGCAGTGGTACAAAAAACATTATCAGCTTCTTTGAAGGGGGAACAGTTCATTTATTTTCCTTTTTAAAATACGTTTAAAGGAATATAGAGCTTGAAGTTTGATGAATTAAGCCTCACAGCACATGTATTTATTATGCTATCGTTAGTATTATACTTCGGTTATTTGGGGATGTTTATAAAGTATTTTAAAATTCTAAATAGCTCTAAATGGTCAAACTAAAAATTGTTAGATATAGCATAATCTTTTATTTTGTTCTTTAAAGAACTGTTATTGGGTTGCTGGTTACAAGAAATTATCTGTATGAAAAAAAACAGAGGTTGTTACCATTTCAAACAGGGTTTTTTAAAAGTCTGCATGCTTTATACAGTCTTCATCTTACGACCACAATTAAGCCCCACATTTCCATTGTTAAGTGAAACATTTGTTAAGTGAATTTTGCCACCTGTCTTGCCACAGTTGTTAAGTGAATCACTGCACTTGTTAAATTAGTGACACAGTTGTTAAGTGAATCTGGCTTCCCCATTGACTTTGCTTGTCAGATGGTTGAAAATCATCATGCAGTGACCCCAGGGAACTGCAGCCATCATAAGTATGAATCAATTGCCAAGCATCTGAATTTTGATCATGTGACCATGGTCCTGTTGCGTTGTAAGTCACTTTTTTCAGTGCTGTTTTAACTTTGAGCAGTCACTAAATGAACTGTTGTTTAAGTCAAAGCAACAACTCCTAAATATTAAGCAACAACTCCTAAATACTAAGTAAGTGAAGTATTATTTGAATTCAAATAAAGTATCTCACGATTGCTTCTTAAATTTTTAAAAAGAGTGTGTGTACTACCGATATCTTGTATGTCTGATCCACAAAACAAAGTGGATGTAATTATAATTGACTTTAAAGCAAATAGCTACTTCAGTCTCACATAATGATTCCACATGGAAGCGAACTAAAACTTGCATTTTCTTATGCACACATAGATATGATTCTGTCCACAAACTTTTTTTAAAAAATGTTGCCAGTATTAAATTCTTTTTTCTTTTTGTATCATACACACATTTGTCTTTATATGTTAATTTCAGGCTTCCTGGGATCCCTCTGTGCAGCTCTGTTTGCTTCGTATGCGATTCAAGGAAAGCCACTGGTCCAATGGGGAAGAGAGATGATGAAAGTTGTTCCAATGGCTGAAGAATTTTGCAAAAAGACCATCAGGCACATGGCAGGTAAAAATGATTAATGGGACATTTCAAATTCATAAAATGTAAAAACAATATCACTTTTTATAAATTCTCAGTAACTTTGTTTAGTTACCCATGATGGCACAGAGGTTAGAATCAGTATTGCAGGCTAATTCTGCCAACTGCCAGGGGTTTGATCTTCACCAGTTCAAGGTTGACTCCCATCTTTCTGAGCTCAATAAAATGAGGACCCAGATTGTTGGGGACAATACGCTGACTCTGTAAACTTCTTAGAGAGGGTCTGTAAAGCACTATGAAGCAGTATATAAATCTAAGTACTCTTGCTATTGCTACCCTTTCCAATAATTAATTTTACTTGCCATTTTTAATTTGAATTTAAATTTAAATGGTATTGTAAGGAGTTGGGTGAGAGATGTAATGAAATACTAATTTAAAAATAACATTAGATCAGTGATACATATACCTAAGCAATGGGCTTTTAACAGCACCTCCATTTTCCTTTAATTGAAATTTTTCCACTTTTATCCAACTGTTGTTGTTTCTTAAGAGTAGAGCAGGTGCAGGATTAACACTTATAGGTCTGCCTCTCACAGGAGGACGCTGGCATTTGCTCAGGGCAATGTCAAATCTAAGCAAAGCACGCAAGCCTTTTGAAGCATGTGCTTGCAACCCCGTCACTGTGGAAAGCAATGCTATTTTAGAAAGCGGGGAGAGAGGTTGAAAAAACATATCCCTGCTTGAAACCCAACTGAACCCTGTTTTTCAAGAGATTTGGCTGGCTAAACAATGATAAAAGTTTCTTTCTCTTTCCTACTCAACAGCTCTAAATGGCTGTACATGATAGCACTAAGCTAAACATAAAGGAAATAATTACTATTTAGATTGCTTTTCCACTGCAGCTACTTCACAAATTACTTTTTCCCCTGAAATAAAAGGCAATTTCCTACACAGAAGGAGCTCTACCATAAAAATGAGTTTAAAAGTGTTCTTTCCAATACAAATATCATGGTGTCAGGAAATACATTTGAAATAGAACATCAGGGCACATGTCAAGAATAATACTAAGTGGGCCCTTTTGTCTCCTCAAATATTATTTCTTGAGGGGGGGAAAAGTCAAAGATGAATTACCCTAAAATAAAGTTTGTATCTTTCATACGGATTCATACAACACCTGCATAATATTCAAGTATACAGCTTAAATGTGATACTCAATGATATTAATGAAAGCTTTTGTGTATCAAAAGCTGATTGGACTTTAGTTATCTTTGTTGATTATGTTCAGTGGTGGGATTCAAAAAAATTTTTACTACCAGTTTTGTGGGCGTGGCTTTTTGGGCATGGCTTTTTGGGCATGGCAGAGGAAGGCTACTGCAAAATCCCCATTCCTTCCTCACCTGACTAACCTGCTTTCCAGCTCCATTCTCCTGTTCAATGAAACAAAAAAAGATCAGCTGGGAGGCTAGGAGGCAGCTGGGCGGGGCCAGCCTATTTGCCGGTTCTCCAAACTACTCAAAATTTCCCCTACCAGTTTTCCAGAACCTGTCAGAACTGGCTGAATACCACCTGTGATTATGTTACTATATTTAGTTATTTAGTTGGCTATGTTACTATAGCATATTGCATTAAAGAAAGCCCTTAAAAATGGCCTAAAAATGGAACTAATATAAATCCTATTGCAGCCAGATTGCTAACAAAACTTGGCTTCAATAAATGCATTAAGCAGTAAGAAAACATCTTAAAAGATTTCCAAGCTCAAGTCTAAATTCACACATAAACTCAAGGTGCAGAAGTTCAGATCTATCCTGCTTATTTCATATTTTGTGTTTATTTTGTTCAGTTCAATCATGTCTGATTCTCAGAGACTGCCTGGACAAGCTCCTACAGTTTACTTGGGAAGGGATTTTCAGAAATGGCTTGGTATTCATCTTTCCTACGGTTGAAAAAAAATGACTAACCCAAGGTTATTCGGCTGTTCTGTGGCTAAAATAGGTCTAGGACTCACTGTTTCTTGGCTTCTAATCTGATGCCTTAACCACTACACTAAATGGAGTCTCTATTTTGTGTTAGCTGACTCTAATTCTTTGTCTTTATGGAAATAAAAATCTTCCAAACATATTCTCTACTATACAGTATATTGGTTATTATTAATGACAATTATAACAGCCTTATTTGACTATGCTTGACTGGAATAATTTTTCAAGATTAAATGTGTTATAATTACATATTTATTTTCTATTCAGAATATCAGGAACACTGGTTTTACTTTGAAGCAAAATGGCAATTTTATTTGGAGGAGAGAGAGATCACTGAAGATAACCAGAATAAACCCCAGTTTCCTGACAATTATGATGCTGAGGAAAGAGAAAAGGTAAGTTTTTCAAGAAACAGCTGTTTAAACTCTGTGTGTCTGGGGAGGGGAGGAATAGATATGAACTGATACTTTTCTTACTAAAAATGATTTCCTATGCTGTAATCACAAAACCAAATGATAGAGGTTGTGTCTCAAAAAAACAGAATATTTTACAGAATAAAGTTTAAGTTGGTCATTTATAAGAGAAATAGTAATAGAAACAATAACAAAAAGTTAACTGTTGATGTATAGCAAACCAGTGACTGATGGGTAGATATTACTCAAAGAGAACAATTAAAAGCAAATAAATCAAGGAACTTGAAGGCATAAACCATAGTTTAATGTTTTTTTTTAAAAAATCAATCTATGTTTTTAAAACATGCAAATGGAGAGATTTATATATGCATGATCTGGTTTGCATTTCGTCAAATTCACACAGTCAAAGTTGTTAGTTATCCATTTAGACTTACCGAAGATGGAGTTCTGAAGGTCGTGGTGGAAGGAGAGGTCATGATGCACCCATGATTGCATATGATGCTCTCTTAGGATGTGGTGGTGACTGGACAGAACTTTGTAACCGGGCAATGTTCCATGGAGGTGAGTAAAATAATGCTTTTTTGTATTTCTTATATAATTCAATCCTTATAGAAATTAAAAAGCAACATGTTCACAGCAGCTTTTGTCAACCAAAAGTTTCCAAGATGCATGGGACTCCAAGTCACATAACTCCTGCCAGTCCGGCCAGTGTGTCATTGGAAGTTCTAATTGCTCAACCATTGTCAATTCACACATTTTCACAACAGGACTCACTTTCCATTACAGAGAACAGGATAACTGTAGATAAAGTGGGTATCAGTGACAGCCCTTTAGCAGGGGTGGGCTTCAAAAATTTTAGCAAGGGATTCTCTGCCTGATTGCTGGGTGGGCATGGCCATGGTGGGCATGGAGGCCCTCTGGAGGCCGGAAACGGGGCCATTTCCAGCCTTCCCAATCTTCCAATAGGCCTGTTTTTTACCCTCCTTGAGCCTCAGCGCGCTCCCTGCACTTACCTGCATCCAAAATGGGCCATGTGGGGATTCCTGGGAGGCGTGGGGTGGGTGGGGCAGCCAGGAGTGGGATTTGGGGGTTCTCCAAACTGCACAGAATCTTAGCTAGAGGTTCTCCTGAACCACTGCGAACCCCCAGTAGCCCACCCCTGCGCAGCCTTTAGGCAGTCCCTTCTATTAAAGTTCAAAAATATACATGCATCTTAGGCCACTTCCTACCTAATAACTTACGGTGATATAATGCTTTTCCTCATCATGATATTTTGGTACAATAATGATCAAACCATTATCAGTTGAAATGTCAACTGATATTAATGGGGAATAATTTGTGGTAGTAACATAGACTGTCCAATGGTCTTCTATGCAACTGATTGAGGGGATTGTACACGAAGAGAAAGAAAGAATTCTAATTTTGAATGAGAGAGTTATAATGATTTATAAATCATTCGAAGATGGTTAAATAAATGCATTGATTCGCTTGTAACACTACAGCAGCCAGGTACAATGTTGTCATCTTACTTCTGTGATGTGCTGGGTTTTGATTTTTTTCCACAGTTTATGTTGATGAAAATTGAGGAGGGAGATTCAATTCGCAAAGAGGCCCAGGAACCTGTCAGAAATACATTCTTGATCATTGTTTGGTAATAGTCTATCTTTCACCCTATGGTTAAAATTCCTGAGTGGCGCTAACTGGTCATTTGTGCTTTTGGTTTCTAGGCGAGAGTGCAGCTACGGGATCAATTGCTGGCTGTTTGTATGGGCTACTCTATGGCCTCAACAAGGTTCCTAAAGGCTTATACCAGGAACTTGAGCAAAGGGAGAGGTTTGAATACTTGGGGGAAGCTATTTTCCAACGATCTTCAGAAGAAAAGTAAAGATATTTTTAATTATTTTATTTTATAATAAACTGGTAATCAATTTTGAAAACAAATGTACAGGAGAGAAAAAAGAAAAGACCAGATGCCCCCTTTTGTTTAAGATTATACTATTTAGTAATAACAATTTGCTCAGCCTCCCCCAGGATATTAGGATCGTTGCCTTGAAGTTTTTAAGCATAGTTGGCAGTCAGCGTGTTAGAATACCTTTAAAAATTATCCATGTCTCTTCAAAGGTAGGATTTTGGCATCCATTTCAAAAAGTAACTCCTCTAAAAAAATCTTTATATGACATGAGTTTCTGTTTCACCTTGTTAATAATGTCACCCTGTCATCTGTGTGCTCATTTTCACTCATGCTATCATTCCATATAAAAATCTAATGCTATCTGCACACTGGAGACTGCTTTCATCATCACCCTTCTAAAAGAGCATAGCTACTTTTTCATGCACTCATTTTCCCTGAAATTCTTAATCCACTCTCCTGTCACTTCCTTTTAATGTAACTTTTTTTTTGTCAGACTTGCAACACCATTTCTTTAAAGAGGGAGAGCTATCACCAGGAAACAATCCAAGATAAGGCAGAAAAAAAATAGCCAAATCATTCAAATAAATGTACAAAACTTCAGATTTTTCGATGCTGTTTTTTTTAAAGACACAATTTGTAATTATTTGGGTGGCTAAAATTCCTGTAAATAAATGAATGTTATGCCTCTTCATAAGCATTGTTCTTTATTTTTGCACTGTGCTTATTGCATGTTCCCGTATGCTGTCACTGGGATTTTCGCTTGCAATTGTCACTAGAAGTCAAGGTTAACGTGATTTATTTCTAGGCAGACATTCCCTCAGTTTTGATTCCTTCCACTTATATATTTGGTCAGGATTCAAGTCTTTGCATATTTACCTGGGAATAAATTGAAATTGCCATGATTTACATCCAAGTAGATACATGGAGGATTACGAGAGGAGAACACCTCGGTCTCACTAAAATTAAGATGAAAGATTTACTTAATTTTCACTTATTTCCATAGGACTTAAGTACGACTAAGTGTGAGTACAGGAAGAATGATCAATTCTACTCCAACAATTCTCAATCAATGGACTGGAGGCTAGTAAGAAAGACACCCATTCCTTTTTTCCCATCATTTCCCAATTCAATTTATTCTTTTCCTCCCCTTTCCCTTTAAACATCTTCCTTCCTGTTCATATTATGGTGAAAGATGATAAAAGTCAAGGAGGCGAAGGAGTTAGGTAGAGATACCAAGGTTTTTCTCTTGGCATCAATGTCAAAATCTGCATGACTGAAGCCCAACCACTTTGATACATGCATCAATGTCACATGTAGAAAAGGGTGGGATTTTTAATCTTATTCCCATCATGCAGATTTGGACTCCTCCCATTCCATGGACATTGCTGCTCTTTCAATTAACTTAGGACTGGTTTACACAATTCTTTACTGACCAACTAAAATAACTAATACTGCCCTAAAACAGCTATTCCTAATTCCCGCCCAATTTCCAATTTCCAATTTTAATAGATTTGTATGCCGTCCAATCCCGAAGGACTCCAGGTGGCTTACATAAAAACAGTTTAAAAGTATTTTTAAAAAGTTTAAAATACAAAACAGAAACAAGTTAAAAGAAGGACACAACATACACTCGATCTTAATGGGGCTGAAGATCAATCTAGATCAACAGCCCCAGGCCTGCCGGAACAGCCAGGTCTTAACAGACTTACGGAAGGCTGAGAGAGTGGGGAGGGTCCAGATCTCAGGGGGTAGATCGTTCCAGAGGGCTGGGGCAGCTACAGAGAAGGCTCTCCCCCGAGGAGCCGCCAGACGACACTGCAGAGTCGACGGTACTTGGAGAAGGCCCGCCCTGTGCGATCTTATTGGGCACTGGGAGGTATGTTGCAGGATGCGGTCACGGAGATATCCAGGTCCTAGGCCATGTAGGGCTTTAAAGGTAATAACCAGCACCTTGAAACGTGTTCGGAGACCAATTGGGTGCCAGTGCAGCTCGTGGAGGATAGGTGTAATGTGGGTGTACCTAGGTATACCCAATATCGCTCGCGTGGCTGCATTCTGGACCAATTGTAGTCTCCGAACACTCTTCAGGGGCAGCCCCATGTAGAGCGTGTTACAGTAGTCAAGCCTTGAGGTGATGAGGGCATGAGTGATCATTTGGAGTGCCTCCCGGTTCAGGTAGGGCCGCAACTGGTGCATTAGGCGAACCTGGGCAAAAGCTCCCCTGGTCACAGCTGACAAATGGTGTCAGCTGCGGGTCCAGGAGAACACCCAAGTTGCAGGCCCTCTCTGAGGAGTGTAAGATTTCACCCCCCAGGTTTAAAGGTGGAATATCTGGACTATTTTTGGGAGGTAGCATCCAAAGCCACTCGGTCTTGTCAGGGTTGAGCGCAAGCTTGTTCATTCCCATCCAGACCCTGACAGCTTCCAGGCACTGGCACATTACTTCTACTGCCCTATAATATAGTTTCCTGTACTTTTCAAAGAATACATATCCAGGCATATAGCATCTACAGGCTATTCTTAGTGGTTGAAAACTGCTTATATGAAGGAAATAGTCATTGAAATAAAACTATAACCTTATGTTTTGACCAGGTATTAATTTAGCACTAGCTAGATAAAATATTATATTAATTTGCTATGTCATTAATGGTAACAGAAACTTGAGTTTTAGCTTAGATATGCTACATTTCATGATTCTTTGGCATCTCCACTGTAAGAAGAAGGTGAAAGTATTTGTGAATCAATCTCTGAATGAGAAAATGTGTACCTACAAAGTGTTTTGTACACATGTTAAGTGTTTAGTTTACACAACCCCTTTCCTACTGATGATGCTGGCTGACTGAAGGGTACTGAAATATAGTCCAGTGTTTCTCAACCGTGACCCCCTTGCTGGCTGGGTAGTTATGGGAGTTGAAGTCCACACATCTTAAAGTCACCAAGGTTGAGAAACACTGAAATATACAATATCTGGAAAGGAGGAGATTGCCTATCCTTGTCCTGCAGCCTTCTAAAGTTCCTGTTAGAAGTATCTTGCTTCTTTATTAAAGAAGTTAGAGTGAATAATTGAATATGTCATTCTATCAGAATAATACTGTATTTGTACATTAAAAAATAAATTATAGTGGTTCCATGGATTGCATCATACGTTGCTTTCTACCGTGATGAAGCATAGTTCCCACAGTTGGTTACTATACACAACATTTCCTATGTTTTGGAAGAATCCCATACTTTGACATGCAGATAAATATGTTGTAGGAACATGGCATCATGCTGCCTGCTTAACCCACTTCCTAGTCATGGGTTCAGGAGGTTGCTGCAGAGGAAGAACTATTGCCAAAATATCCAATGTGGGATAATTCCTATTGCCAAAAATTCCTATCCTGGGATTTGAAATAATATTTATTATTATTTATTTCCTGCTTGATATAAATCACCTGTCAAAATACAACTGTCCAAGGTAATATATAATATCAATAAATAACAAAAATGCAATTATCTTGCATAACAGGTTTATAAAACTAAACTGCTTTTATGCCCTTAAGTATTAGCAACACAATTAACATTAATGCAGTATTTTTGCTTTACCCATAATACCACAGAATGTTTCCCCACACTACAGAGATAATATAGAAGTGTACTGTATGGATTTGGCTCTGGAGATTTAGATTGTCTGAATAAGTACAGTTGCGAAACCAGCATCAACTACAAAGCTTTTAGAATTACCTTCTGTATCAGAGAATAACATTTTGATTAGCTAACAGAATAGTCAAGATGGGATATGTATAGACTGTAAATGTTTCACAGTCCTAGATGCAACTGAAATGATGGCAGTTTTTGTCATGGCAGGCTCCCATTTGTTAAGCAGCGAAGTTTAAAAGCATCTGAAATGTATAATCCTCTTGATCTCATGCTTCCATAATGGAAAGAGAACCTAGGGAAAGGCTTCTTATGCTGAGATCAGACTCAGTAAATGTGAGTTACAATCCTCAAAGCAATACTTTCCTCTGTCATACATTTATCATGGAGAGGACCCAGCACAACTTGCTTTTAATAATAAAAGTGTTGTCACGGGTGTAATGTTGTGTATATGTGTGTGAGGGGAGGAGAGAAGTAGGAGGAAAACTTGCCGTTTGGAAAGATATAACAATTTGACCAAATACTGGCTTTGAATTGCTTATTTCATTCAGTGATGTTAATGAACAAACTTATTTTTTTTTCTGGTCTGTTGTCTTTGTTGAATAGGCTGAAGGTTTATGTAAAAGGAGCCTGTGATGATGAGAATATTGTTTCAGTCTAATGTTCCTATGTTCAGCATTGTCCAAAAGTGAAACACTGTATACTTGATTCTGCCATTTTAATTTTTAGAAAGAGGAAGAATATTGATGGGTGGGGCGGAGGCTTAGCCATCAGAATAAAGTTGTGATTTTTTTTTAGGAGCCATCTAAATTTCAGATTATGAGAAACTGAGATTTCAGCAAATGTTGTTAAAACAGTTCGTGCCTTCTCCCCCAAATCTGGCCCTGGTCCTTCTGTTTGCAGGACATAAATGCTAGAAGTATTTTTGTCATTGTGTGACTATTACTGAGAAAGGAATAAATAGTTGCCTGGGTGTACAATTATCTGGATGGCAGAATTAATATGAGGACCAGCTCATATTGCTTCTTGGAATCAGACATGTGCTACATGGCCTGGCCACGTTCTTGTTATGTGGTATTAAGGATGAAATCCTGTGTTATTGGAATCAATTATTTCCTTTGTCCTTGACCTCATCAGGATTTCATCCCAAAACAATTGTTGTCCTGCTTCTGCTTATATATGAAGAGGTATAAAAACTTAATTCTGTTTTATTCTGTTAGATGAATCTCATTCACGTACTGTTTTACTATTTGATGAATTAACCAACTAAGATTTTTATGGTATTAGAAAGCTGAAACCACTGTTGTATTTTCCCACCCACCCAGTTCCAAGCAATAGTCTACTGCCATTGATGTCACTCTGTGGCTTTCACGCTGAGTTCATTATTTTATATAGTAACAGATCCTCTCAGGTTAAAGCGCTTCCTAAATCCGCAGCTGCCAGTATTCTAATTCTTCAAACAAAAGTGTTCTTACAACCATGTTAATGACTGAAATGATACGAGGCCAGCTTATCTTATCCTAAATATCTTTGCATACAGAAAGCTTTTATCTTTGCCATTATAACTTTATAGGGGAAATGTTTTTAAAATTTTAGTTTATCAAAATATACAATATAAAATAAAAATATAAATTACAAGAAAAATGAAAATAATGGGAAAGTAGGGGAGGAAAAAGTGTAGGCTAAAAAGGAAATTTAAAAAAGCATTGTCTTCCAACTTGTTTTAGTGTAATAGAATATGGTAATAGCCTCAACTTTTTACTTTTGCATGATACTATATACTAGCCATTTCTATAATACCAACCTATCTAATCAGCAAAATTCCAAAGTTCCATTTTTTCCACCTCAAGCACAAAGTCCAGAAATGGTTTCCTAGT